TCTAAAATTGATTAGCGGCGTTTTCCGCTATTTCAACAATACTAAAATTTTTCGCTTGCAACAATAACAAAGTTGTTAATTTAAATTAATTCAAATTACATCAATTGGCTACTATTCTCATTGTGAAGAAAATTTGAAAGCAAATGTACAAGACGTATATGAATGTCTGAATGTGAGAAGGTGCAGGTTATTGGCTCGGGTTTATGCGAGATAAACAGTAGATATCGATGTAGCAAATTGTACGTGTACATCTTTTGCGTGCAAACAGCGTCTTAAACTCGAACGCGCGCACCCGTCATCCTCGCGCTATGCGAATTTTAATTCCGTGAACGATAATCACTCGTGGTATGGCAATTAGCGAGTCGCATAATGGCACGGCCAAGGTCATCCTGACCAGGCAACGTAAAATTTTCTTTACAAGCTAAGCTTGACCTTTGTCTCCTTTATCTACAGTCTCCGCGAATGCTTTGTGGATGCGACATCATTTCCTTATCCGTTCGGCACCCGTGTTGTTAATTTTATATGTTTCATTAATTCCGGCAACTATGTACTATTCAAAAGAGACGAATAAAGACATAAAAAAAAAGCCGCTGCGTTCATAATATTTGGAATAGATCTTAATTCTCTCTCTTTTTCTCTAGTAATAAAAATAAAATGTTTTGATCATTTATTTTTGAATTTTTTGGATTATACATTCAAGAAAATATCTTCATAATCTAAGTGTGTGTGTGTTGTGCATGCTTATGTTGAAGAGTAAACGAAAATTATGCGTTTTCACTCCGATAATACTCAATTTATAATTTGCTATTGTATTTAATTTTTCATATTCCAAATTTGTTCATTATTGAAGCTATTGTAATATTTCTTATCTTTACCGTTACAAATGGCTCTCGCTAAATCTCATATAATTTCACGTTATTTTTCAGCTTCCGTCAGATACGCGATTGAAATACTCAACGGATATGAAGTAGCAGTCAACATTCGCTCTCATTGGCATTTCACGCCACGCAGATCGTAGGCTTGTTCGCCGTGCACGCTCTCTTACATATAAGGACCACCCAGTGCCAAAGTTCGTTGTGCGCATCGCGAATAGTAGTAAATTATATGAATAGCTAATGGCACGAGTCTCGATTGCGTCTCGATCTTAAGGAGTGCGCTCGGATGGCTCTTCACGCATCTTGAATGCCGATTTCTAATCGATACTGTATATGTCGTTTACGATGGTTACGCGTCACGGACACACTGTCCAACACCCATTTAAAGGCACCGATCTAATCGACAGAAAAATAAGATGTTTTGATCTATAAGTGCGATCAAGAATTCAAGAAATGCGACTTTCTCAACCTCTCTTTTTATTTTCAATCATTTGCAAATCTTTGCATTTATATATTCTTGTTAATCAATACTTTAAAATTCGGTAAATGATTGTAACACAACAATTAAGTATGTGCATTCATTACTTAATTATGCGCGCATTAAGTATAGATACAGCGTAAAAAGATAGAAAAAGAAAAAAATGTAATTAAACAGAGATAGTATATGTATAATGTAATCACATTTTAAAATTTAGTGAGCATATAAAATAGTGTGAGCATATTTAAAAATTTTTTAAAATGTTAATATATAAGAAAATTAAGACATTGAAAAATGAGCAGAAATTTATCTCTCTTTCTGTATTATCATATTCTAAAAACTTACCTTTTAAAAAAAAGGTAAAAAAAAGTCGCCAAGCATACGCGCCATGTGAAAAAATGTTACACAAAAAACTTGGCCCTGCTAAGTTTTAAAATTAATAATTGCAATGTATCTTAAAATAACAAATAATTAATTTAATTTAAACGTTACATTAATAACCGCAACGTAAACATACGGAGTATGTATATATTATTAGCATATTATTCAGTTTAGCAGCGCCAAGTTCTTTTAATTAAAATTTTCTTTATTTTTTAATTTTGTATTAATTTTTAATTTTTGGAATAAATTTTTAATTTCTAATTTTTGTTTGAATAAAAATATCCCAAAGCGTTAGATGTGTGTATATTACAATTGTGCACTTAGTTAATTATAAAATAACTCTATTTTAGCTATTCGCTCTACTACTTTAATTATATTGCAATTTATTAAATATAATTTTTCTTGATATTGGAAATAATAAAATAAATAAATTTTATAATATAAATTTTTATTCAGTTGGTGCAATTTTTTGATATCATTATTTTTCAAGAAAATTAAAACAACTACTTTGTATGACAGTTTTTTTAGTTAAAATGTTTTAATTTCAAAAATAATAAAAGAAATATTTTAAAATAACACTGGTTTTTGTGTAACATTTTTTCACACGGCGCGTGCACTTGGCGCCTTTTTTTTTACCTTTTTTGAAAAGGTAAGTTTTTAAGGATTATATCATTCGTTTTTGTAGTATATATTAAACGTCTTGAAATAAATAAGCAACCCATTTTAAAAGTCACATCCAACAAATTCATCTTTTCTTGGCATCGCAATTTCCATTTCCACTGCTATATTGTTTTATGTTGAAAAAATAATTGTTTTATTTCTTTGCTAATATCTAATGTGAAAGGACAAAAATATACTGACAGAAATAAAAATCAATTATTAAATTTGTACAAGCGCAAGCCGAATTGAAATCTTAGATAATAAGATATAAAACAATCAAATTTCTAATAAATTTATTCGATAGCTTCATTATTATATAGTATACGATAAAAGTGTCTTCATATTTTACTCTACATGTTCTAGGAATACTATATATATATAATTATACACTTGTATACATACGGAAAAAGAATGCTGTTGCTTCAATTAAAGTCGACGTCACGACTTTAATTGAAGCAACAGCATTTTTTTCTGTGCATAAATATGTATACATAACCATTGCTACGCGCAATCTTTGCTTCATGCGACTTAGCGCAAAACACTACTGTGTCTCGATAAGCTTCCGCATTTAAATGGATTGATTTTAAACCGCCTTCGATTTTGTGAAATAAAAGATATCGATACTGGACGCGGCCTATGGAAAAATACAAAGTTATTTCACATCGTATTACGTCAGTTGTTTATGTTATTTATTCAAGAAACGAGAGGTAGAAACACATAATATACATTCAAATATGTTTTGTATAAACAAAATTTTTTAAATGCTTATGTTAAAGAAGAAGTATAATTTCGTGTATATATATGTGTGTGTGTATAAATAATGCAAAAATAATATATAAACTGCAAGTCATAAGTTAATTGCTACATACATAAATGATTAAATATAGTACATTAAAATATATAACAAAAAGCAAAATATGTAAAAGTAAAAAAGCAGTAATTAATATTTTATTTGCAAAATGCACTATTTTAGATAATATGACAGTATAATAATTAGCAATGATATTCAATTAAAACTGTTACGTTGTCATACATACATGCTTGATATAATGTAATGTAAGAAAATCTAATGAAAAAAAGAAAAAATTATTACATATAATGCAAATGCATTTTAAGTCAAATATTAGAATTTAATCGTGAAATTAGGCGCTTGCAAGATGCTAAAATTCTCATAGAAAACATTCAATATCACAAAATATTTGTTATTCTTTACGTGAGATTGTATCGCACTTACAAAGAATAAAATATAAGAGGTCACCTGAGCCCATGAACTCTAAAGAAGATGTATGCGCATTTCAATTGTTGATTTGTTTTTTAAATAATTAAGAAAATCATTCTTATTAAGCATGCATATATGCACTTGGTATAAGGAAAATCGCAGAAATTGAATATAAAACAAATTATTAAAAAGAAACATCATTCATCAATTGCATTTGGTTTAAAGCAAAGTATCGGTAAAAGTTTCAAAATAAATACAGTTTTCAGTTGTGCTTAGAAATCAGGCAGAAATTATTGGAATTTAATAATTAGTTAGAAATTTTATCTACTTTTATTTTATGCAATAAATAAAAATTTTTTGAATCAAATATTTATATATTTCGTATTTAAAAGATCAATATGTAAAAACTTCTTAATTTTGATATACATATATCTATTATTAAAAAATTAATTCGATCAAGAATCAAAAAATTCCAATGGAAATAAATAGATAATCGCTTACATCAATTAACTAAATCATAAACGACATAATAATTTACATAATACATAATTTTATATTACCAATAGGTAATTACTAGTAGGTGGATAAATAGGTAGGTGAGTCGGTAGATAGGAACAATGTCCTGTCACCAATGCTATTCTATATTGTCACTAGATTTATGAATTTAACATACAAAAGGAAAAAGTAAGCCGAAAAAAAAATTCTTGACATTTGGTACTTGATCAAATTAATAACCGGTTACAAATGAAACAAGTAACATATTTTTTATACAGAGCCGGTTAGAGTCCAATCGATATAGAGTGGGCGACGTGTGTGTCGATATATCCTCGAAAGAAAATATCTTTCGAGGATATATAAAAACGTTACAAGGAATATAATATGAAATTAGCATATACATATACGTATAAGTGTCCTTCAATAATGCATGTATATATTGCATATTTATATATTTTATACATTTATACATTGTATTTATCATCTAAATATTGTGATCCATGTACCCGATTGATTATTTATATTTTTCAATTAAATCTTTTCAGAAATTTTTGACACGATACAGAATTTTTCATGCCAATTTTACATTTGTCAAATAAATTCGTGAAAATGACAAGTATCTTTGCGCGGACACTTTGTATCCATATCATTGCTATGATTGTACTCAGTTGTGTGGTAAAAAAACTCGGACAAATGTTCACTGTGTATGAGAATCGCGACCGATTAATGCACAGTGGTCAAACCGCATCGTCACTCATGATCGCGGAGTGTCTTATATTCTCTTCTTCTTTCCCAGGGGGTTGATTGTAAAAGCGTGGATTCGCGCGCGGAAGCGGCGGATGGGGAAGGTGCGTAACCTACGACACGCTCACGAAGTTACACAGGTATAAGAGACGATATAAGGCCCCTGCGATGACGGTGCGGGCTCAGTTTGTCGATAGGTGTCTCGCGACGGAGATATTCACCCACTCTTGTTGGTTCCCATACCACGATTTATTTGCTTTTTTCGGTGTATTGCTCGCGATTATCGCTCGTGATCACGACTCGTTTGTGAATTCGACGCCGCGTCCGCGGTGAAACTTGTATATAGACGCATCTTCTTCCGCACTGGCGGGATTTCATAACGATAGAAGCACGCGAAGAGTAGCGAACAGTGAGTATTACACGTGTTTCGCGCATATCGCTGTTATTTATACGCGGAGCCGTTACTAGTCAGTACGCAATATACGCTCCAGCGTAGGGCACAAAATTTTAATAGTCGCCAATTATTTTTGAAGTGTTCAAAAACATGTGAAAATTGACAGCTTGGTCTGCGATGACCTTACCCAACTCAATGCCGCCCGCTTGTAGTACCTCGTTTAACCGGATAGAATTTAGCAATCCTTTCAATCGAGAAAGAAGTGGTCAACAACCTCGATTACAAGGATATTATAGAAATATTCGTAAAGGCTAAGACCAGAAAACATAATTTTTAAATTACTTTTATCTTATGTTTTTACAAAACATAATTAAGAAAAAAAACATATTATTAAGAAAAAAAGTATAAAATATATTAACCCTCGACAATATTAAAACAAATACAAAAATAAAAAAAATATATAAAAATTTAAAAATATAAAAAAGCAAAAAAAACGTTTTAAAATATTTTTTATTTGACTTTGCAGCTTTGCGCTGAAGCGTCTGAGCTAATTCCAGCGTAATAGCGCTTAGGACAGTTGTAATGGCACTGTTTATATGACATTATCGTCAAGTATTTACTCGATTATTACCTACGAGTAAGCATATTCAATGATAAACTTACAATTAGTACACGCGAGAACAATAATGCTATTTCCGCTGCGCTTACATTCACATAAATATTTTACACAAAAAGACATGTAATTTACAGATATTTTTTTTCATTTTTCACATTCTAAAAAATTTTTCCCAATCAAATTATTCTGTTTAAGCAATATAACAGACGTTTCCTAAATATTATAGAGAAATTTAATCCGATTAAAATTCTCCCGATCGTGTACTGCATCCTTCGCGTGCATTCTCATAATTATCGCTATAAATATCCATATATTTATTTACGAATAATATTTACGTGGACTTGCTTGAGAAAATATTAATACAATATGAAAAAAAAATATATTAACAAACAAGTACACATACATTGCGTTATGTGGGAAGTTGCCTATTGAATCATTATCTATTATACTCGAAATGTGCACAGAACAGACAAAGAATGAATTGTATTGCGAAATATATTATTAATATATGTTGAATCGAGTGATAGTTATCCAAGAGTCAGCATTGTGTCAGAGATAATCGACTCTAATGTGTTTCATTTATCTATGTATACAATGCAAATATGAATAAAGCATATATGAACAACAAATAAAGCAAATTATATAAAGTAATGACTAAATTTGTAAAAAAAATGAATCGGATATCACTTGCAAATTTTTAAAGATCTAAAATTAATATTTATGTTCGAGTTTCTCATAAAAAAAAAAACAGTTTATATAAAAATAAACTATTTAATTATAAATATTTTATGCAGATTTAAAGATATCTTTCAATCAGATTAAATGCTAAAACTCTTTCTTATTCATTTATTATCTAAATATTTATAAGTGTTTAATCTAATAAATATTAATAATTGACTTCTTTTTTTATCGCATTGAATATATGACTTAACACTTTATTTTTTCGAGTATCTGTCAACGATTATATTTCAATAATCTCATATGCCACAGATACAATAAATTCTTCGTCAAATTGTGGATGGAGATTTCACTATTCCATTAGTAGTCATATTATCTTAGAATTGTTACATATTAATTGTAATATTATTAATATTATTCAATGTTTACTATTTTACATAATCATCAAAGAAAAAAACACACATGCATATGTATAATTATTATAGTAAATAAAACATTAATTTATAAGACAATTAATTAATTGTTAATTAACTGTTTTAATTTGCCGATCGATAATTGCAGATTAATTGTTAAATCATTTTTTTTATTGCAGAAAAGTCAGCACTCTCCGTGAAATCCTGATACTTCAAATTTTCTCAGGAAAACATGATATTTGTTTTTATTTTTGTTTGATTTAATAATATTATTCTATTTAATAATTATTATTAATCTCAATAGATTACTTAATAAATCTGTAAAAAAATTCTTGTAATCATAATTTTATATCTCTAGATATTGAAATAGATATGTTTTTAATTAAATAAAATCCATCTTGACAGAAATCGTGAACGTACATAAGTGTGTGTGACGGAAAAAAATGCTGTTGCTTCAATTAAAGTCTACGTCACGGGTTGCCACAGACATACATAGTTCATTCAATAATACTTTTATTAGACCAAATATCTGGATTATTAAAACAACTATCCAGATATTTGGTCTAATAAAAATATCATTGAATGAACTATGTATGTCTGTGGCAGCCCGTGACGTAGACTTTAATTGAAGCAACAGCATTTATTTTCCGTGTAGGTAGTAGTCTATTATTAAACATTGAAAAATATTCATTTAATAATACCATTATAGCACCATATATACGATATAATGATCTGGAAAAGATTATACTTTGCAGCGGAACAGAACTATCGATCGTCCTTCATAAACTTTCCGATCATTTTTTTTTTTTTTTCTTCAACACATACCGCGCTTAAGAAAATGTTTTTCTTCATTCCCAGAATGGTCGCGAGCGAATTCCTTTGGTTGGACATAAAAAGACGTAACGAAAAAGGGGTTAAGATAAGAGACGTGCTTCACACGTAGACACATGTAACGTAACATTATTGGAAACGCATATCTTAATGGAGCAAAAAGTCGCGGTACACTTTCGTTATAAGATAAATGCAACAGGATGCACCTGACTCGCCAAACAAGTGGCACTTAAAGATCGCGACGATTCAAATTGCATCACGAGGCAAGCGCGAGACATTACTGTTTACATTGTAAATCCGTTTTCCCATATTATTTTCTTGCGTATTTGTTGAAGTACGCGTGACAATTATCATTCGAGAAAACGCACAAAGAAGCAATTTGAATTTTATGAGATCAGAGTCCGCACGTGCGATCGCGTGAAGGCAAACTGTAAACTCTTCGGATATGAATACAGAAGAAAATCTTGACAGAGGCATGTGCACGTATAAAAAGAATGCAGCTATATCGAAGACAATATTGCGGAAATTCCGCAGCCGTGATTATCGCATTTTCAACTTGATTTATGATCGTGCCTCGAAGCAAATGTGTTTGCAAATTCTATTACGCGTCCTGCCGTCAAGAGATAGAGATTATTCGACAAACGGTTTCAGAAAATTGCTCAGAAAATTAGCCGTAACGTTTAAACCGTCGATCACGAGAAATCTTTTCGAGGCGTTTTGCAAATCAAAATATTTGCTCGAGCTTATTTGAGTTAAGCACGTTAGCAACGGTAGCATTCCTTACTATTTCTTTAATGATTTAGCGATCACTTATACAATGTAAGAAAAACCTATAATCAAGAAAATTCGTTAGCATTACAGAAGAAAATATTAAAAAAAAAAACGAGATATTGCACAAGTTGCAAGAATGTCACTCTATATCGCGAGACGTGATTATACAAACTTATATAGTATCTAATTGCTTCGACACACGTGATTGTACGTGGTTTGTACATCTCAATAATACAATTTTATTAAGTAGAAAAAGAGAGAGAGAAAAATAATATAGGCAATATGTACATGTAGATGTATGTAGCTAACATTTTGTTAAGAAAGAATCGTTTTCGACCACGGAGATATATCCACTCGAATACGCCGGAGACCCTGGCTATAAATAAGCTTTTTTTTCGTCGCCCAATGATGCAAATTAAACTTTGACGCCTATGATTAGATATTGCGCATCTTTAAAAACATTCGTTTGGCATTAACCGCAACAGTCGCTGCAGGTGTAAGCGGTCGTTACGCGGCGGAGCGGAGGAGCACACACAAATAGAATTACAAGATGTATCGTGCGACTATGAATCCAGGACGCATGCGAGGGACCGCATTTTTTCGCGGCGAGAACGAGTTTTTTAGCCGCATACAGTCTTTGGTGAAGCGGCTTCACTTTTCCTTTCCGCAGCGAATGCACGGATTGCAAAATCCCGCGAGTAACTCGCGACGCCGGTCGCCGCACATGTTTGACGTTTATCGCGGATAATGAGTTCCGTTTTCGTGACAGTCGAATCGCGAAGTCTCAAGGAAAAATGCGGAGAAGGACGCTCGGTTTTTTTTTACCTCCTAAAAAATTCAGTGTTTTTGAATCCGGGAGAGAAGGATAATGAATTAATGAAGCGATTAAGAACGGACGGTATGCCAACCTGTTTTAAAACACCTTGCATTGACAAGGGGAACTGGACCAACAGGTTCTGTGACGAATGCACTCGCGAATGCCTATTTGTATGTATCGTTAAATTAGTAGGTCATGAAAAAAATCGACTTTTAATGCACCAATACGTACGACTGCCGTTGTGTGTTTGACAACTTCTGCACCCTATTTCTCACAAGATACTGTTACAAAAGTAAAATCATAAAAGTATAACATGAGCTATCTTTCACAATACACAGTAAGTTTCTAACGTTATAATTATAATACATTGTTTGAAAAAAGGTTTCTTATTCTTAGCGTTATTATATTATCCACAATTGAAAAAATGTCTTCTTATTAAATCTGTCAAATTTCTTGTTATAAAGCAATGTCGAAAAAAATTATCATTTATTGCCAATTTCCAAGGTAGCAAGTTTTTGGAACTAAATTTCCAATTAAAAATTCGATTTAATTCATATAAAATTAATTAAAGAAAATAATTTTTCTTTATATCATTTTTTACTTTCAACAGCTAATTGCTTAAAATTTATTGACATCCCGGAATTCTCTTGTCGAAGAGAGATCTATTACAACTTGTTTAAAAAACCTATAATTAGTAGAAGAATACTATTAAATCGTAAATTAGATGCTTGTCACAATGTTGCGTGCTATTATGTAAAAGTATAAGTTAGCTTTTTTATTGTAGAAATAAAAATCAAATTGATACACATATTTTTAACGCGTCAAAAGCATTGCTACAAAACAATATAATGAGATAAAATCACTTATAATCGCAGATTAATTTTCGCAAAATACTCTATAATGGTGAAAAGATAGAATTATATACGATGAGAGAATATTTCGTAATTTGTAATACTATGGTACAAAATACTAGTCATCGAAATGTTATAAAGTAAAGTCAGATGTATGAAGTGCACTTTGTAACAGCTTTTCTAATTGCATATTCTAATTGCGTACAACATAATGTAATTTCGACACAAATCTCATATTCTTTTAAATGTATTTCTTTCGACGCAATATTCGTTTAAAATTTTTTCTACGTACAAACGTAATAAGCTTTTAATCATGAAATATTTTAACCGTGGAAATAAAAAAGAATCACGTTTTCTGTATATCAAATTACGAGTTGAAGAAAATTTTGGATTCGTGAAATTAAAAGAATTATGTTTCGCGAAACCTTTTTTTGTGATGATTTACAAAAAGTACACACATGAAATACAATATTGCCTTCGACATTACTATATTTCCAAAACTGAACAAAAATATTCATACTCCCCAAATAAAGACTGAGGCGCGAAGGCGCGCTTATTTTTGCGTTTGTGTATTGTAAAACAACGTAATACAAATATCGTCGGTAAATTTCCAACAAGTTTTAATTAGTGAAAGGACAGAGTCCTAATCTTTCATCACCGGAGAGCCACGATCCGTAAATCCTTAATCGTTCGCGTCACCTGCACCATAGATCAAAATCAAGTCGCGCGTCTCGCGATCTAATGAGGTCGAGGTCGAGAGTTCGTCGAGGTGCAGAAACCGTTCCGTTTACTTTCGTTGCGTACTTCGCGGTTTATCCAGGTAAAAAAAATAACTTAAAAATAAAAGTCACGTGTAACACGCACGCGACATGATGATGTATATTAGATAATATATTTTGAATTGCTGTTTTTTCTGTGGCTAATATATTATAATGGATTTTACAGTGCATATAAAATCAATTTTTTACGTCTATTGATATTGTCGATTATTAATTAATTTATCTTAGAACAAAATGTCAAGTTCAAATAAAGCCTAATCATCTATATAAAAAGATTTTATTTGATACTTATTTTTTATATTATATTATATTATTAAAATCTTGAATCAAAAGCAAGACCAATTTGAGAGCGTTGCAAATATAATCTCTCATATATGTAATTTGAACAACTCTTATTATATATAAATTAAAGTTTAGATGTGCACTTGTCGCTTTTATTCGAATCCTTGTATTAATTACTGAACTACAGTCGATGTAGATTGATCAAGATAAAGCAGTCTTCTTTAGAGTTTTTTTGTTTCTTTGTGTTCACAATCTCACAGTATCATCAGTAAACATTGAATCCGATAAGCTCATCAATGTCGTTCAATTACGCAATAAAAAAAAATCATGATGTCGGCTCTTAGTTCCTAGTTTTGCAATAATTATCTTATGCATGTGTTTAAAACATACACTTAAGCCGTGTTGCTCAAGCAATAAATATTTAATATATAAGTCATTAGCCATGAACGATATATCAATAATACTGGACGATCTTATCAAAAATCTCATATAATAATATTCATAGCGTTAGATTACACTAGTTTACAAGGTTTTGTGCCAAAGCATTTGAACACTGTTTTTAGGATAATTTTCAACGCTGAGCACGAATCTATCATCAAAAAATTTCTATCTATCCGGTTTTCGAGATATAAGAAAAATCATTTTTATGATATATAGCAAATTTTTTATTGAATTTAAGAAACAAATTAGAAGTGTTGAGCATTAAATTTTTGTTACACGCCTGCACGATATTTTCGTGAACAAATGGTAATACAATACAATGAAATTGTAAGGCAAACTGCAGTGCTGCTAACTTGCTATATTTAATTAATTTGATCCGATGGAATTTTTCTGACGGCAGATTCGAACTCAGCGCCCCAAAATATGTTAAAAAAAGTTGGTTCCATTTCTGGCATTAAAAAAAGTGTGAAATTTGTAAACTAGTGTTATTAAACTATATCAATATTTTTTTCTTTTACTTTCTACATTTCTTTGTCTACTTCCCGCAAAAACGATATCAGTTTTATGACTAGATTGAATTGCCATATAGCTATATAATCTAATCAAATGATAAAAATGACGATTCGAATAACATAGCAATGACAAAGTACTATTTTACTTTTAGATGGCGCAGTTGATACGATTGATATACGATGGCTATCGAGACTTGATGGACAACAAGAGCGATCCCAGGGTTAACAATTGGGCTATGATGAGCAGCCCGTTTCCCACGCTAGCGATTTGCTTATTCTACGCCTATTTCGTTAAGGTCCTCGGACCAAAACTGATGGAGAATCGAAAACCTTTCGATCTCAGAAGAGTGATGATATGGTACAATCTCTTCCAAGTAATATTTTCGTCGTGGTTATTCTACGAAGTAAGTTACTTGTATACACATTATCGGACATGAAAGAAATTTGTCGAGATAATCTGTGTCCTTTATTTTGTCTTCTCACAGGCCTGGGCTGCCGGCTGGGGTGGACATTACTCTTTCAAGTGTCAGCCGGTCGATTACTCGTACAATCCAATCGCATTGCGGATGGCGCGAGGTTGCTGGTGGTACTACATCTCTAAGTTCATCGAATTCACAGACACGATCTTCTTTGTATTGAGAAAGAAGAATGATCACATTAGCACCCTTCATGTCATTCATCACGGCTGCATGCCTATGTCCGTTTGGTTCGGAGTTAAGTTCACCCCTGGTAAGCGCTCGATATCTTTTACGTGTATTATTTTATTTGCAAAACGCGATTGCCCATTTTGAAACTCAAATTTGTGTAGGAAATTTTATTATTATCTATACAAGAAAAGTTAGTCTATTTTCTTAAAGCGTTCTGATTTATTTTGACATTAGGAAAAATATTAATCTTTGTCTGTAAAATAAATCTTTTATAATCCAATATCTATCAATGTTTTTTTTAGGTGGTCACAGCAGTTTCTTCGGTTTCCTGAATACTTTTGTACACATCGTAATGTACTCGTATTATCTTCTGGCGGCGCTCGGCCCGCAAATACAACCGTATCTATGGTGGAAGAAATATCTGACGGCCCTGCAGATGATCCAGTTTATTCTCGTGATGATTCACGCATTCCAGCTGCTCTTCGTCGAGTGCAACTACCCGAAGGCCTTCGTTTGGTGGATCGGTATGCATGCCGTGATGTTTTATTTCCTTTTCCGCGGTTTCTACAAGGAAGCGTACAAGAGGAAGAATTCGAAAAACGCGTCTGGCAAGCGAAAGGTTCTCAGAGACGATAAGGAGCAAGATACGCAAAGTTTCCAGAACGATATCAAGGAGAACGAAAATGGCGTAATATATGCAAACCAATATAAAATGGCTACCGGATACATCTCAGACAGCGGCCTTAGGAACCGCGTGTTCATCGACAATCGAGGCTTTGACGAATGACGATAAGCCGATCCTCAAAGAGACTTCAATTGGACATCGAATGTACATTTAGCTGCAAATCATCATATATAAAACGCTCTGCTATGTTGCATACAGTCGTTATCCTCTGGCGGCGTGATCGAATATAAAAAAAGTCGAGATTCAAAGATCAGATTCAAAAAATATCCAAAGAAATGAAAAAGTGGAAAGAAAAGCGCGTTGAACATCTTCCTGCAATTTCTGACAGTCTGAATTTAGTATCGTTCTCTCTGAATTTCGAGGCGAAGTCTTTTATATATGTATAGAAAATTCTTTTGTACTTTTTGTGTTATATAAGTGTATATGGATGAATGACTGTGTTTATATGTGTTCGTTAATGTATTGCGAGAGGCGGAAACAGACTGGATAAATTGCTAATAAGATTGCCAAGATTAACAAAATATTGTTTTTCTCAGTTGGATAGTGAATCAAAGCGCACACACATCGATTCTTCTATAAATTATTTTTTATTTCTTCGGTTATACGATCATATTTATTTTCTGACATTTCAAAAAAATTTCAGTCTGTATCAGATCTGTGATGAATTTTAATTGCAATTTTAATAAAAAATTCTTTGACAAAGAGCTTCCACTAATGAATTATTTTATATTTTTATTTTTAACTAATAAAAGACAAATTATTTTTATTTGTACTACTATATTAATTACAAAATATATTTTGTCTTTCAGAAAATTTAGAAAAATTACATTAGTAACTAAGTAAATATATATAAAATAAGCACATCTCATCACATATATGCTGCATATTTCCCCAATAATGTTATGAAAAAAATTGAAATGGCTTTTATACTAAATTTCTTTTGTAAGATAAAGATTAATCAAGCAATTTGCTCACATCTTTCAAAATTAATGTAATAATATATCAATATACTTTACCGCGTGTTTTCTATTAAATTACAAACTCAAACAGAAAACTCAATAAAGAAAAATTTTTTTGTATATGCCAAAGTATTAGGCAAAATTATGTTTGCTCTTTGACATAAGTCATCGTTTCCAAAAGATTTGAAAGCTAAATCTTATGTAACATAAAACCTCGATTTGCAAAAAACAGAAGTTTTGTTAATTAATTATAAATTATTAATAAGTAATATTAATAATTAATTATAAATAAGAAAAAGAGAGAAAGAGAGAGTACATATTTATAATAAATATATTTATTAATACTTTAAAGCAATTAAACTGGACGATTTGTTATCAAAAATGTTTTATTATTTTTATCTACACAAATCCTATTATAATATTTTTTTATAATATTTTCAAAATTAAATATTTAATACAATAAATCAAAAGCCAAGAATCAAAATTAATTGTAATATATGTGAAAAATAGCGCGTGCCTTACATGCATCTTGTACGTTTAATGCAAGAAGTATTCAGCTAACATTTTACTCAGAAGTCAAATACTACTGTTGATATTTCTGTACAGATTCCTTTTCAACCACCTGTAGGTTGAGTCGATACGATTGAGAGATATTACAGAACTAAAGATTAAAAGAAACATAGTCGGTAACATTATTTTAACTTTAATATTTATGCGGAAACTATTTCATAAAGACAGAAATAGCAGATTTCTTTAATCAATAATCAAAGATATGTTTTAGAGTGCAAAGGAGCAACTATTTTTAATAAGTAGATTTTAAATTCTGATACTACCTATATAGTATAATATTTAATTTTTACTGTATTTATTACTTGAAATTTAAAAAAAAATCTAGTTGTAATTTAAATAAATTGCGTAAAAAAATTTTATAATACAAAGTTAATTAATTTAATTAAATATAATAAACCCAATTCTAATTCCCCAATTAACCCAAATCAGTAATAATTATTACCCCTTTAATGTGTAAAGAAAATCCTTAATATAAATAGTAAATTAATAAATTAAATAAGAATATAACTTGATTCAATAATAATTATTCAATAATAATTATTACTCTTGATAAATAACGCAACGTAATAGCAACAATGTAATACATATGTAATAAATTAGACAAAAATTTGTTAGAATTATTGTAATTTATTATAAATAAATGTAAAAGAAATTGTGTGTATGTATTATATCAGTCAATTCGATATGATCTTTTAGTCGTGCAAAAAAGATTCAAAGAAGATTTTACATATAGAAGTCCAATTTAGGATGGTAAATGGTAAAAGTGATAAAGTGGTAAAAGATATCAAATTGAAATAGTAAAAAATATTAGATTCTGAAACATCATTGTAGACGAGCGGAAATTTATCCTACACTAAAATTTGTTTAGCCCAAACGAACTAATCGCGCGCGCCTCTCTTGAGAATAGAAGAAAGAGCCAGTGCTAATTTTCAATGGTGAAAGTACACAAACGTGAAAGTCTGCCGAGACGCGATGTAAAATAGTCATCGAATAGTACTGACAATGAGCTTGCACATAACCGGTCGCGTTTCGCACGCATAAATAACTCATATGCATCCATAATATATATATGCGAGATGCATCTCAATCTGTAAATCGACTTTTTTCCGTGTTTCAACGACGACGTACAATAAATCAATGCTATGTGCGTGGCTCGAAAAAAGCGCGCGGTTTCATTATGCGATTACTAGTGAAAGTATATCGTTAAATCATCCTACTATGATTATGTAATATTATATGAATAGCATTACGTTGGAATATAAGTTGAATTTCAAATTGAACGGAATTGGAAACTTATCAAATATCAATCTTCCAAACGATTAAATTTTTTTACTTCAACGTTTTCATCTACTGACTGACTGGAATGTATAAAATAAATGCTTATAAATTTAAAAATTAAATTTATATCATTTATTAATTTCTACGTACGTATTGTATAACAAGTTGTATTCTAATAATATTATGTAATATGTATTGTAATAATTCTATTATTTCCAAAATTCTCAAAAAAAATTTGTTTTTTTCAAATAGATTCCACTATTAAAACAGCAGAAAACATATGATCATATTTCTAACTTGAAAAAATTAGTTTTAATAAAGAAAAAATATTTTTAGCTTTTTCTTTCTAATAAAAAATATTTTTAGCACATTTCCACGATATTAAAATAACAAAACAAATAAACAGTTGAAAATTTTGCATATTTTTAGTAATGCCTACTAATATCCCTCTCTAAAAAAAGGCATGTTATTGACATTCGTATATTTTGATAGTTCGTAGAGCTTGACAATTCAATGTCTTATACAGGGTGTCTGATAATAATCGTCCCACCCGTAATCTGCAGGTAGAGCGGGTTAAACCGGGCAGGAAAATCCTTTACTATTTTGCAATTTTTGTAATAATTATTTAGAAATTAATTAAAAAAGATCGACCAATTCGCGCGAGTGTAAGCGCGCAGCAAGAAGAGACAACCCAAAAATAGGCGTACGACAAAGTTTTGGAAGAAGTGCTCTACAAATAACAACAGTTACGTACGAGCGGTACATAACGATGGATTCTCGCGTCCTAGCAACCACATGTCAATGCTGCCCATATCAAGCCGTCCTTTCTCACCGCGCGGTAATACTCGCGCAAATTGGTCGATCTTTTTTAATTAATTCCTCATTAATTATTGCAAAGGTTGCAAAACGGTAGAGGACTTTCCTACTCGGTCAAAAATGTTTCAGACAAAAGTTAAATTATGTTTATATTATATTATAATATAATATTATAAATATAAATATTATATGTTGTCAATATAAACATTACTGCATATAATTTTTATACAATTGTAAAATTCAAAACTTATATATTATGGTCTCTATTAATTACAAAATTAACATAAGCAACTGTTCTTATCAATATTATGATTCACATTTGTTACATATTTGTTATGAGTCAAATTCTAGACAATTTTAGTATTTTTTGTACAAAATTAAATTAACATTCTCATTTTAAGAGCATGTATCACACATATGAAGTTTGAATCAGTACATTCCCGCCAAAACTAAGTTTTATTAATCTCTCTCTAAAAAATGTTATTAAATATGTATATATATATATACATATATATCTTTTTAAAATATTATTTCTTATTGAAGAAAAATAAGAAAGATGAATAATAAGAAAGATATACAGAGAAAATATATAAATCTTTTTAGGTAAACTTGTTATATAAATTCTTTTCCGAGGAAGAACAGATATTTTATATATTTTGGTAAAATCAATCGACTGACATACATCGTATGAAAATTATATGCTACAGATAATATAAGATCTTAATCTGATTAAAAACATATTCGTCCTCATCTCCTATCAATCCGTACGATATATCACCAAATGTGTTCGACGGTTACAAAATCTTGCCGCATTCTTAAATACATAAAAAAGCATGAAATCTTATCATTTTTTGTTAAATTCTTTTTATAGAAATGATTAAAAACTGAGAAATGTTTAAGTTACTTATTTTTGTATGTTTTAGAAATTGGTACTATACAATATTTACAAATAATTTTTTATTTTCTCCAAATCTATTTTTCACGAATCTACTTTTCACACATAAATTTTTTCACTCAAGTGTTGATAACAATAATTATGATGCGATGACATATCTATAAAAGAGAACGACTATTTATTTTCAAATTAAATATGCTTAAGAGAGAGAGAGAGAGAGAGAGAGAGAGAGAGAGAGAGAGAGAGATAGACAGACAGACAGACAAACAGACAGAGAAAGAGAGATATCAATGATCTTTTTTCTTATTTATGACAGTTGCTATGACAAAACTGAAAAATTAAAAGTGATTTATACATATAATTACGCTAATGTTATTTACTGCCGTAATAAGTATTTTAATATATACAATGAGTACAGATTTACAACAAAATTTTACTTTTTAATTCGTAATATTGCATTGTAATTTTGTTTAATAATCCATAAGAAAAAAACTTTTTAAAAATTATGAACGCAAAAGGATTTAGCAATTCATGTTCGTTTCATGTAAAAAACATATAAATAAATATTCAAGATTTCTTGAGATCCGCATAGTTGTATATTTTTCAAACATTTGTTCAATAAACGACATTTGCAAGCGCTATGTTAATGTTAACAATAATGTAAATGATATACAAAGATAACGTATGATCTTAAAATAAGAGATATTCTCTCTTAAACTTACAATTAGAGATCTCTTTGAAAATAACTGTGTTTGTAAAATTCGCGCGCTCTTTTAATTCGATATGCGAATATTAATATTCCGAAGTCTTGAAAACAGTGTTTCTCGTCATAACATATATTGATAATTCACAATTTTATAAAAGTTTTATATAAAAAAACTTCAAACAAGGTCAGCACTATTTTATACAGTTTATTTCTATGTAACATTTTATTTCTATATATTTGTAAAAATTGCTAAACATTACTTTTTTGCGTTTTATAATATATAATTTATAAGAAATTTTTTCACGGGGGTATTGTCGTAATAATGTTGTAACAAGACAAAATATAGATATGCATTTAATTTTCAGATAATCTCCTAACTTTTTGCACCTCTTCTATATCGTGCTTCTCTCAATATTGTTTCCAATTTGTACTTGATTATTTGCACATTAATAACAATGCGTGTAAAAACCGAGAAAAGGCTCGGAGATTGTGTCCTCTGCGGAAAATTAACACGTTGGATGGATTAGGCAGCGAATAGAAAAATGTTTAAAAAAAGATTAGTGTTGTTACGTGAAGAGCGAATGCATCAAGCAATGTCATGTTCAACCGAGAGGTATAAAGTGCATGCATACGTTACATTGCGCTGACGTGATTGCGCATTCGCTATTTTCTGAAATTGTGATTGAAGATTGAACCAGGATTCAAAAATAGATTCGAATAATGGCGTGATCCAACTGTTCCACAGTTATGTAATTTAAAACACGGACAAAACGTATATTTCAAGCCAATGATCAAACTATTTGTGACCCTAATTTGAAAATTATAATTATCAATATCTGTAAATAATCGATGCAATATATGTTTCGCATTAAATAATGTAAAATCGCAAGTGTCAAAATAAAAATATAATAAAAGTTATGTCAAAATATATTTTTACTCATTTAAAAATTTACGAGAAGTAACATTTGCCAAAATATGATAATCCTTTCGAGGAATTGTATACTTCTTGTTCAATATAAAAAATTTAACATAAAAAAGTCATATAATATAAATAAATATTCAACATTATTAATTAATTTAATTAATAATTTCTATCCTTCTCTACTGTTATACGATAGATATAAATAGCGTGTGTCTGACTACCAAAAAATTCCAAACATTAGACTCTGAAACACTTCAACAGGTCCTCGAAAAAGTGCAAAAAATGATAAATTTTTCATATGAGTTTTCATTCGAATAGTACAAGCGCGATTCTAAGAAACGCACTCGTGTCTAGCATGTGTCAAGATCATTGATCATTTAGGCATCTCATTATTAGTCATGTAAATACTATTATACGAATATTATAAAATTTTATGCAAGCGAAAAATTAAATTCGAGATTTGTACTGAAATATAGTGTCCTTATAGTGTAATTACGCGAAAAACGAGCATTATTTATATATCGCAGATTTAATTTCGATTTATATATATAATTTTCTTTTGTATACTACATGTCCACGATCTTATTTATTTTTTAGAGTTTTTCTTTAAGCTCTTTTATAGAGAGATTAATATTGAAGAAAAAATATATGTATATTCGTCTATGGTATACTCTTGCTGTTTGCGCTGCTGTTTCTTGGAATCGTTGAAAAATTGATCACGATATCGTCGAAAATATTGACAGTACAAGGTGCGCCTATCATCTGCGTTGTGACGTTCGCGATTCAACTTCTCCAGACTCGGAATTAAAATTCAACGAAACTTATACGTATGTCATTTACATTAATTTTTGTAATAGGCAAGATCTCGGCAAACATCGCTACGTACTGTCAAATTTATCAGCGTTTAACACGACTGCGAGACCAATCAGTTACAAAAAGAATGCGCATCAAGTTTGCAAGGTGCTCCGAAATATCTTAAAATAAAAGTGCGAGAAACGATAAAGAAAGAAGTGGTGTAATCAGCACGTAACCACGTCGCATCCTTGTGTATTTATACACGGTTCAATTTTAAATGCACGTAACATAGGTATTGTACCACAAATCAGATTTCAGAGAGATCAAACTGACCGCTGAGTTGCGGAAAATAAAATAAGAAACACCAGAAGTATATATGCCAGATATTCGCCGGATGTTAGGAAATGCTGGGTCGAAAGAGTGGAAGAAGATCGATTTCGTGGAGATAATTCACAACCAGCCCGCGATCATAAGGGATCGCGGCAAAAGATCGCTTTCGCCGACCGCTATAACCCATATACAGCATCGGTATACATCGCAACTTGCGTAACAATCTCGCATAAGAAGACTGTTATGTAGGAACCAGCGGTGCCGCTCTTTTCGAAATAGCCGGAATCGCGCGCTCATTCAGGTCCACTTACTCACTTTCTTCTCTCGATCTCGTGGCGAACTTGACGCGACGAACTTGCATGATAATCGCCGGTAGAGGAAACGGCATAGCGACATAGAAAGAGCTTAATGCGAGACTCGCACGATTCGACTCGACCATCTCCACATTGCCAATTAATTTTAATTAATTAAAAATATTAATTTTATTTAATTACACAAGAAAAAATGAGTTGTTCTTACGCATCAGAAATATTTCGAAAATTTTTTAACAGAGTAATTTTGAGATCTAATTTCTATACTTAAGCACATTACAAAATACAAATATAATATAAAGTGATTTGCATTAGAACTCGAATCCATTAATTTTTAGATTCTTGGGACATAAAAAACTCTTGCGATCTTGAAATATTATATAATCTCATTTTAGCTAGTCCAACTTTCGACAACTAGGCACATATAATGATATTCGGCAAATCATAATATATTGATACGATAAAAAAAGAACGAATATATATCTGCGAAACATATGTAACACGCGTAACACTTTGAGATAATAATTGAACAAACGAGAGAAAGAGAGAGAAATATGATTAAGCACAGATTAGATATTAAAATTAGTCTGTTCAAAAATTTTCGAAAGATTCCTGATGCGTAGAAATACATGAAGAACACAAGTTTTCTCTTGCATAATTAAATAAAATTCACGTTTTTAATTAATTAGAATTAATTGCCTTGTTTGGTCCATAAACATATTATAACATGTCCTGTAATTACTTATTTATTTTTCATAATGTAACTTCCGCAAGGGTTTTTTTTTTATAATTACAATATGTGTAATAACAAATTGCAATGTAATGTAACATAGAACGAACAGGGATTTCTATTATTATCCGAAATATTCTTCATGCGAGAGACATACAAAACATGTTCATAAACATATACATACAGATTAATATTCAATGCTTTTTCCTTTTTTTTTTTTTCACTAAATTACATAAATTGTAAAAAAAATAGAGACGACACTGAGTAAATAAATGAATATATCAAAACTGCCCGGGAAAAATGATAATCAAATCAGATCAAATCAGATCAAATCAGATCAAATTAGATCAAATTGGGTATAAAAATAGATCTGATCATTTGATCTAATTTGATCTGATTTGATCTGATTTAATCTGATCTGATCATTTTTTCCCGGGTGATATATTACCTGCATGTTTTATGTTAACCGAATAAAAACATGGAATATATATATTTAAAAACTTTTACATTCTTTTGAAGAATCTAAAACTATGTAATATATAGTTATACATATAACTGGATAAAATCATAAAACAAATATATAAATATTACAATTTGTCATATTTACAATTATATATTAATGCAATGTTCTAGATCTAGATTATAGCTAATACTTTCTTTCTCTGGGGAATGATTTTTCTTCAAAAGAACGATAATTTCAAGCATGAAACGATTGTAACAAAAGTAATTCCAAGGCTTAATAAATAAATAAATGGAAAAAACACATATGTAAAAATTTAATTAATCGTTAAATATAGAAAAGAGCGGCAAAAGAGATACACGTTCGATCTCCTAAATTAGGCAAATTTTATACTTTACGTTTTACACGCGTTCATCAATGAACGAAATTTACAAAGATTGAACCGCGCACCGCAGGATGGCGCCTCATTTATGACATGCCTCGCGCCTCGCCAGCCTAGCCGGCCTCGTTCCTGTCGCGCCCTCCCATCGTCGTGACTTCCTTTATTTCTGTTTAAAGATTACCCAGTGATTACATCGCGGTTAAATAGAAGATGACAATCCCCTCCCGAACGAACATCACGTAATCTCGCGAGAGCGAGAGAGAGGAAGAGAAAGAGATAAGAAGAATTGCGACACAAGGCCACGAGAAGACGAGCCGGTGCGGAAGTGTGCGTTGACAGGTGGCGGGAGACGAAAGAAGGAGGAGGACGAGGACGGAGGATGTAGACGGGATTTCGCGCGATATAGACATCGCGGATCGTGGGGCGAGTAGAGCGACGGAGACGGCGGTGGTAGTTGTGCGCGTGAAACACACGGTCGAGCTTTAAGGAGGGAGAAGGCAAATCGACTACGTTCGCCCGGTGGGCGAGCGAGCAGCAGCACAGACGAGAAACTCGTCGGCGGCAGCGGAGCGTCGGTGTTAAAAGGCGTGGGGACCGTCCATCGCTCGAGCGTGACCGCGTGTTCGAGTTTAGTTAGCAACGGCAGCAGTTTCTCGAGTTTCTCCCAGTTTTTCTTCTCCATCTTTTTTTATCACGCTTCGCCTCCCTCTTTCGTACATCTCCACCGCCGGGCGACGAAGAAGAGGAGGAAGAAGACGCTGCCGCCGCCGCCGCCGCCGCCGCCGTTGCTCAACAGTGACAAGAAAACTTGCGATCAAGGCGGGACGAGCTTACTCGAGCTTACCGAGCCACGACGGTGCGAAGTGACGATATACACGCCTCTCGCGTTATTCGCTCGATCGTAGCGTACTTCATCACGCGAGACGCAACCGCGCGGGAAGGAAGGAAGGAAACCGATCATCGACCGCCGAAGGGAAGTAACGACGATCACGGAAGAACAAGAAGAGCTACCGAGGTTGTTGCCTCCGCGCTTGCCGTTCTCGAGCGCGAAAGGTGGTGCGTCGCGTGCCGCGCGTTTATGTGCGCGGTCAGGTGACAGGAGGAGGGACGACGATAATCGTGTGGTATTGCTGTTGTCGTTGTTGCTGCTGGGAGATTACATAGTCGCCGACGATCTGCTGCCGGCTGTCTGGTGCTCGAAAACGAAGGGTCGAACGGAAGTGGGCAGGGACGTGGGAGAACGTCGCGAGAGGGTGAGGAAGAGGACAACGAAAAATAACAGGTGGGTGTAACCCGTGTGACAATACCCGCGTATACGGTGTGTGCAGCGTCCGCGAGATACACGGCGAGAGTCGCGTGATCTTGGTTGCACGCGCGCGTGTACCGGCATCCTATGCGGCAAATTTGAGGTTAAGTGACGCACTCGCGATCGATCCGCCCCGTGGAGAGAAACCACGAATCAAGAAATGATACCAGGAACGCCCGAAACGGGGAAATCCGCTTTTTCGATCGTTTCGCGATAAGCCATTCGATCCGTCGGAATTCGAGGAACGTGACCTCGTTTTCGCGGCGAGCCGCCGCGAATCCACATTGTCCTGGACAACGCGCTCGTCGCCGAACACCGGCGTTCTCCACAGGTCAACGATAAACAACATTGATCTATTCCACACAACACGCACACGCACCGTCCATCTTCTCCCATCCTAATCAAAAAGTTGCCATTCCTTTCCAATCGATTTCTAATCATTTAACCGAATTTTTAAATGATTTATTTATGCGTTATCCGCGTGTATTGTCTCGTTATCCATAAAGGTAAAAATTATGAATGATCGTGAGAAGATTCCTTAATACATTTGCACGTACAGTGAGATTCAAATAAAATCATCGAGAATTATGTATTTCTTTATATATATAAAAAATTGTTTTATTCGAATTAATTCTCATAGTTTTATATTTCAACATATAAGAAAATGTTGGAATGTTGTATTTAAAAATTCATATTATTACAATCATATTAATATGTTAATATTGACCTTTTATAAAGAATATATTTTTTATTTTATTTTTTATTCCCTATTTATATAATTTACCTCTTTTGAATAATTTAAAAAATATTAGTGATAATCATCATTACATTACGCAAAGCGGACCCGCAGAGTTAATGTTTGTCTCAAGGCCAAGAGATGCATACTTTTTCTAAACTTTTCTGAGTAACTGTGGTTATTACGACATAAAGAAGCAAACGAAGCAATTATTCACATAGAAAATGTGTATTAATGTGTATAAATTCCCATTTATTTACTTCATTATGCAATCATTCTTTCGTTTGCCTTTGCAATCGACGTAATGATTTAATCAATATATGATATAAAGCTATATATATATTAGCTAATATATTTTTTATTGTTTTTCCCCGAAAAATAATAATTAGAAATTCGTCGGTTTAATTAATGTGATTGCGGCCAATATATAAATATATAAATAAATNNTATATATATATATTAGCTGAAAATATTACCATTATACTTATTTAATTTTCTCATTTACGAAAAATAAATCTCTTCTTAATGAAAGATAATTCGCCCGAGTAAGAATTTAACATACTCTTTCTAAACTACATTTTTCAAATCACATCTTGGATATATTGACTTTATGTTTTAATATCCAGCATCAAAAACATTAGTCACTAAATAAATGATGACCAAACAGAATTTGACTCCAAGAATAACATTCTATTTTGAAACGGCTGATAATTGACACTTTACGAATGTAATAATGTCGCATCACATTGTACCATTGTAACTCCATGCGAAAGTTAGCGAAACACACGTGCAAAAAAACATTAACCAAAGAGAAAGAGAGAGCCTGTATTTTATACAGAACATATATAAATTCAATGCTTCGAATTTTGCAATGCTTTTCTATGAAATTTTTTTACAACGTTCTCCATTCTGAAATATGTATCTCTATGTAGAGATCGCTATCTACCTGCAAATTTAGGAGCATTTAATGCTTCGAGAAAGAGTCTTTACGGTTAACAATAAGTGTAAAAAAATTGACGATTACCTTTTTTATTAGAATCTATATATTTCGCCCTAAAAAAATATCGCGGGATATAAAATATTTAAATCAATCTTAATGGAACATTAATCCCCGGATGATTGTTTCAATTTCAGCATCGCGACTTATGATATTCTTTCGGGAAGCTGTGTAAAATCTGATATCACTTTATTATCTTAGAATCTGTTCAAACTGTATCGATATCTTTTGAGACTGGATTCTGATAAATAATAATTGCCAATTTTCATATAAAACGTGTCAACATTAATCAATGTACCTTATATTTTCGCATCTCTAATTCCTCCATTTAATCACTTAAAAACTAATTAAATCATGATAACGCTGTAATTATATGCAAATATACAGCACAGTCCGTTCTGTCTAAAATCAATTTGTTTATTTGTAATATTGGCGCACTATTATTTGTAATATTGATGCAAAATTTTGCGGGTATTTGTCTTGCATTGCGAAAGATTAGATGATATCTCTCGCGCAGAATTGTTTCCGTTAGTAAATAAATAAATAAACAGTATATGTGCACAATTTCCATACAGTTTATTGAAAACGCGACCGTGTTTGCTTCTGCTTTCGGATCCCACGCAGTGCATATCTGTTTGTTCGTTATTCGATATTTATGCAAATTCGTTCGAATGGAAATGCCACGGATCTCACACGCATTCTCTTGGTCGGGTTAATCGAAATGATCACGAGCGTTGCTCGGAAAAACACAAAGCCATGTAAATATAGAATGTACACGATCTTTGATCGCGTGCTGATGCTAGGCGAATGATAAATGTCTCGTTCCTCGATTACATTCGATCCAGCTGTATTCTTATAAAATACAAAGTTTAATCCTTCCCGTTTGGACAATGAAATTTTTAGATTTTACAATTAGCCGACGAAATTCTAAAAATATCTAAAAAAATTATCGATATATACGTTAAGAATTGATTGTCGTTTGTGTGTAAGTATATATTTATGTAATTATTAGCACTGTATAAATTTTTTACCAATATTATCTGAAATTGAGCAATGAGAAAGATCTTTTCGAAGAATTTGCTTACGAAAGAATTAAGAGAAAGTGTGTCTGCAGTTGACCAGTTGCGTACGTAAGTTTCTAACAATTCGTATGACATTTTTGAGAACTAATTAAGATAGTTAATTAAAAATTAATCTGGGCCATGAATAGAATTTTGCTTTAAATAAAATTAATGAATTAACATGGAAAAAAATTCTCTCTCTCTTTCTTTCTTTCTCTCTGTCTCTCTCTCTCTCTCTCTCTCTCTCTTAGGTTTTAATAAATTCTGTTATATATATATACTAAGTAATCATAGTAATATGTTTTGCATTAATGATATATAATACATTATTAATTGATTTATTATTTATTAATATATAACTTGTTGCCAATTGCAGAGTTGATAGTGATTATTAAAATGTATGTTGAATATTTATCAGCCTAATCCACGATTTCTAATATAATATTGATAATAAAAAAACATTATAATATTAAAATTGATTTGATACGAAATATCGCATTATGTAAATTAATATCGAAATTTTAATCAAATGTTACGTTCAATTTGATTTAGCGACGCGTAATTTGGTGATGACTCATGAATGACTCATGAATTAGATATATATTATTCACAACGGCAAATTTGATAAAAAAATTGAATTGATAATATTTCACCGATAACATATTACGAATCATAAACAATCAATCTTATTTAATCATTCTGCAAAGTTTTAATTTTGTTAAGCCAATATGTATCTTTTTGCGACACGTATCTTTTGAGATCGATCTTTTTCTTTGCAGAAGTTTAATCGATTGTTACAGATTTTTATGACTTTTACAACATTAAAAAAACAAATTTCGTTTTAAAATGGTGATTACTTGAAATTAATTACAGAATAAAATTCTGTTTTTTTTTTCTAAATTTAATCAACAGAATACTGTTTAGTTCTGCATATAATTAGAACGCTTTTGACATCTCTAAGAATAAATTTAAATTACAAATTGATCAAAGTATATGCCAAATTAATCAAACCTGACCTATTCTAGAATTACTGTGTATATAAAACGGGCCAGCCTGGCCGTAGAAAAAATTACGCATGCGATGTACAAATGTATCGTTTTGTACATAAATGACATAATAGCTTGCTTGCACAACACGATCTATTAAAATATTGAATAGTCTTATACGATAAAATCGTTTCTTTACCTATGTTTAAAGTATACTATGAAATACATCCAACAATAATCCACAAGTTTATGTTAGCGACTGATTAGCGACTGTAATCTGATAAAGATGCTATGTTATGCTGAATTTTATATAGATATACAAATAGATAAATAGATAAATAGACAAAATAAATATTGAAAGAAACAAATATTACTATTAAAATTCGATGTTATTTTTACGAACGTTTTGACATAATATTTAGCATATTGGAATAAATAAATATAATAATTTATATGCACAATTATTTATAAAATGTCAAGACACGTTACTTATTAATCAGATACGTGTGATGGAATTAAAAAAAAAATCCTGATGGATTATAATAATAATCTATATATATCTAATATATTAATCCATAATATATATAATCTTGCAGAAATTTCGATCTTTCTTGCATAAAAGCATTGCTTTCATAAATATTTATCGTAGATACAGTTTGTGTGTGTGTTAATATCAAACTGAAAGTGTAAAAATGTGCACAAGGAATATTATTTAGAAAATATCTCGTTAAGAGATTAAGACCACAGATTTAAAATATTTATATTCTACAAATGCTAATAATATCCGTATGTACACATATAAAAATAATATACAATAGTATACTATGTTTTGCAACGAGATATTAAGTTAACAGAAAAGCAAGCATAATTTTTAAGGCATTATTATGGCATGTTTGGATTGTCTCTTTTCTTTTTCTTTTTCTTTTTCTTTTAATTATTATTATTATTATTATTATTATTATTACACATATAGATCAATCGATCAAAAAACATTGTGTGTGCGCCTCAACTCTACGAGATAATATTCAGATTTTCTATATAAAAATTCAGCAGCAATTTTTCTTTTATATATCTTTATCTGTTGCAAAATGTTAAAATTTTCAATATTAACGAATTTTATTATTTCTGGTTACGATACAAGACGCGCTACTCGAAATTCGTTATCGCGCGACTAACAATGGCTCGTTCTACTTATC